TAAACCCTAAACCCTTTTTTGGGATATCAGACGCAGGCTCCTGGCGTTTAGGGCTTGGGGGGGCCTTGAGGGGTCAAGAATTAGGGTTCAGGTTTTAGGAATTGGCCGTTGGGCTTTTGGGAGTTCCGGTTTTGGGGCTTTTGAGGTTGAGGGTGAGGTCTCCGGCTGTCAAACTTTATGAATTAAAGTAGTTTAGGGTTTCGGGTTTTAGGGTNNTTTAGGGTTTAGGGTTAGGGTTAAGTAGCACGTTTGGGAATGTAGGCTATAAGACTATGCATTGTAAACATCCTACAGTAAAGAGCGCGCTAAGACTGTTGCTTATCTTTCAGGCCCCGAGACACGCAAACAAAACTGCAAACATGAACCCTTTCCTGAGCTGGGACAGACGGCAGCAATGGCACCTGCAGTCCAAGCACTACGACACTCAAAGTCTTTCGAAGTCAAAAGGATTTTTAGGGGGGGGGCCTTGATACCCCAAACAAAGACCGAATCAGTGACTCATCAGGCCTCTTAAAGCAAGTACCTACCCCCCTCCACATAAGGGATCGCCAGAAACCGTGCCGGTGACTGGCTTCGGCGGCTTGCGGCTCAGGCGGCGCTGGGGGGGGGGGGGGGGGGGGNNAGGTGTCTCTAAACCCTAAACCCTAAACCCTAAACCCTAAACCTTAAACCCCAGACCCTAAACTCCGTGTAGTACGGGGATTCCTTGACCAACCGCACGCAGGAAATTGTTAGCTGCCACGAGCTGGTGCTGCATTTCGGCAATTTGGCTATACTGAACTTAGACCCCTAGCAAAATTTGTAATTTTAGCTGCTTCTCAACTTCTCAGGGTTGATAGTAGCCAAAGATTAAAAACTATTTCTAAGTACCCTTAAGTTGGGGTTTAGAGTTTCGGGTCGAGGGTGGTTTGTCCACCTAAACCCTAAACCCTAAACCCTAAACCCTAAACCCTAAACCCTAAACCCTAAACCAGGTTTGGGGTTTAGGGTCTTGGGCTTCGCCCCAAGACCCTGAACTTACAGTTTAGGAGTCTTGGGGGCCCGGGTGTTTGTCTTAGGGTTTAGGGTTTAGGGTTTAGGGTTTAGGGTTTAGGGTTTAGGGTTTAGGGTTTAGTCATCGGCTGATCGGGCTGATGTGACTTCTTGTACCGTTCGAGATACTGCAGAGGGGAGTGCGCCACGAAATGCTGCTAACGCACAGGCCTTCAAACAGAAAAGCATAGTCGCCCCAAGAATGCCCCAGACATCCGCAGACTGAACCGTTCGTGCACGACTGAACCGGCAACCGCAGCAAAGCCAACAAAAAAACTTGCCCCTCAAAATGCAGAATCCTAAAGAATTAAATCTCAAACCCCAAACCCAAGCGACCCCGCCCACCGCCCCGGCAACCCTTTCTCCCTGCACCTGCAAGAGCAAGCGCGGCGGCGCCTCTGGGTTGAGAGTTTAGGGGCTTTAGGCTTTGAAGGTTTAGAGTTTAGGGTTTAGGGTTTAGGGTTTGGGGTTTGGGTTTAGGGTTTAGGGTTTAGGGTTTAGATGGAGTTAGGGCTACATGCAAATATACTATCATACCATATACCATCTAAAAGTACAATATGTGTGTACATACATATGCTGTGTGCGCACACATATACAGAGTCTGGATGCTACTTTTCTGCATTGTGAACTCCTTATGCTCTTCAATCTTCCGCTCCCATCGCAGTCTGCCCTCGAAACCCTAAACCTCAAACCCTAAACCCTAAACCCTAAACCCTAAACCCTAAACCCTAAACCCAAACCCTGAACCTCAAACCTTAAACCCTAAAC